CTTACTCATTGCCAGTGTTTGGGATACAGCTTCAGGTCAGAGCTGAGCTCCACATATCTCTATTTTCTCAGTCTCTCTCCTGTAGAACTTAGAATCTCTTGTCGGATTCCTGCCATCCATGTGGTTCTGAGTCGTCCTCGCCTAGGCCTTGTTCTCTTCCAGCATTCTCCTGCAGGGCCCATAGCACATCAACCACCATTTCCCGAACCTTTCAGAGACGGTTTTCTCTACACCTATTCTTTGTCTCACCACTTCATTTAGGACTCTGTCCAGCCTCAACAACTAGAGACACCTTCAAAAATCCATTTCTACAGTCCAAACTTTGGTATACAAGCTGGCATTCATCGACCATTCCCCACATCCATAGGTTAATATGGAATCCACAATAGCTATGAAGATATAGTGCTTGTTCACATTTTAAATGGTATTGTTAAATCCATTTATCTCAGAGAGTAGGGTGCAGCATTCTAGTTGCTTTCTTTGCCAGCTCTACCTTATTTCGGACAACCTTGTTAAAACTAGTATCAAAATTATTATTTTTTAAAGTATCAGAATATTGGGTGCTCGAAAAAGGATAAGAAATATCATAATTTTATTATTTTTAAAATAGAACAATATATATAATTTTGATAAAAATATTTAACTTTTCTTGACTCCAACAAAAATTGAGGTATCACTTTAGAAGTGCCACTCCACTTTGACGAGTGGGCCAAGATCTCATGATCAAGATATAAATGGGATTCTGATAATAGTCCAAGATTGATAAAGAGTTAACAGTGTAACCTCACTTTATATCCTGATTTACGACTTCTGCAAACTTCCTACTGGTGTTATAATTCGGGCTCTAATTACATCCTTGCTTTCGACTTGACTTCTGAGATGAAGGTTCAGTCACTTCTATCTACTTTCGGACATACTCGTCCAATCTCAGGATTTGCCAACCATTAAAGTGGAGTGACACTTTTACAGTAGTACTCAAGTTGAAATTTGTTATTAGCTGTTTAATGTTGACAATAATTTATGAAATTGAGACTGACGTTGTATATCTCAGGAATAAAACTCATTCATGCAATCATCTTTCCTTTTTAATTTTCCTTCACTCCACCAAGCATAGATCACTTAGAATAATCTTTATTATTCATTATTATTACATTAGAATTTGAAGACTAACTATATTAAGTTGGTGTTGTTTTGTACTAAAAACTTATATTTATTTGTATCAAATTCATTTAAATGAAACAATTTTTTTTTTTACATTCTTACCCGTAATGCGTAAGTATTGTGATCGGTTCAAATTTTCGATATGCTATTCATCAGATCTTCACGTTTCACAGCCTTCTGAGTAAAAAAAAAAAGTTTAACCATTGTTCAGTGCCAAAATCATTCCTTATTGGATTAACTGATTTTCATGCTTCTTTTTTTTTATTTTGGATCTTGGCCCCCAATCTACCAAATCATGCATCTTATGCACAATAGCTAAATATCATGTCTTTCTACAGACTGTTTTAAGAGTGTGTCGTAATTATGTTTTGGATTAATAATTTTGATACATTAGAATGTCATATCAGAGACATGAAAATTTTCATGAAGTCTAGGTTTCAGTCGCAAATTAAATTAAAATTTTTAATCCAAAATAGACAATACTTCAACAACTTTATCTAGCTATTAGGTTTAAAAGTTATCAATGAAAGCACTCCGAAAATAAATTACCTGTTAATATTAACAGTAACAAAACTAATTCCTAAAAAATTTGACAAGTGTGTGACCACCATTATATTTTTTCTTATCAGTGGAAAATGTTTTTTAAGTCTTGTACTTTTTACTTTCACTTACCTATATATACAATATATAGTAAGGGTAAGTATTGCGATCATGAAAATTTTTGAATCTGAATTTTCAATGGAAATATACATTTTGAGGTCCCCTGAATCCAAATAACCAAGTCCCACAAAATGGTCTATGTGTGTTATAAGTCTAGCTCAAAAACGAATTTGTATGGAAGTCAGCTTGCATATTTAAGGTTTTTATATGCTAGGTATGTTACGGCAACTTTTTCATCAAAATCGGCTAACCGGAAGTGGCACTTTATATAATGAACTAAACACATTTTAATGATTATCTCAAAAACTACTGTAACGATTTTGTTTAAATTTATCATATCGGTGTAAACTTTTTTTTTTTATTTGTTTATTTAGACATACAATATTCTGTCACAGGGACAATAATTATATTGATAAATGAGCACATTCACACCGTATATACAAAAAAAATAAAATTAACAAAGTAAAACAATAACTAAATAATAATAAATAAAAACTATATACAATAAAAAAAACCTAAATATAAGTAAATTAAAAACATAAAAATACAATCATACCTATATACAATCAGGCGGGGAACCCAAATCCCTGCGCTAGTCTCTCAACCTCCTCATCGGTGCTAAAGCCGGTGGAGTTTGAGCGAGAGCGCTTTAGCCACATACACTCATGTCTTGAGTAGAGAATCTGGCCATTGCCAGAACTCCAAAATAAATACTATAAAAGATCTCTAGGCCACTGCCGCTTCAACCTTCGAGGAGGGTTGTAGAGATGAGTGGAACTAGATGGGGATTGGGCTAGGGGATTTGGATGATTGATAAGGTTCTGATGGAATTTTGAAAATTTTTCAGGGATAAGGTCAAGGACAAATGGGATATTAAGGTCATGATGTAGGGTTTTGTTAGGGGGTGTAAAATTAAGCAGTTTTAAATAAAATGTGGTTATTATTCTGATTGATGTTCTCTAACCGGGCTTAAATGGCTAATTTTCAATAATAGCTGTCTCGAAAGTACCTTTAATTTTTTTTATTTGAAACAATTGACCATTTCACATTAATTTCTAATATGAAAAATGGTTAAATATAAAATATGAAAGAATTTGATAAATAACTAAAGGAGAAATAAGAGATCGTAACGGAGAATAGTTGTAATTGAGAAACCAAAGGAATACGAGCGCACCCAAGCTCGCCCGAAAGATTAGAACACGCTTCCATACGTATCATGAGATTAATATAATACGGACTCCGACAATATTATATAAATATACATATGTGGTTTTCATAAATGCTATTGTTGGTATTATTTAATATTTAAATGTAGAGATTACAGTGATATAAATATTAAAATTTGTATATATGAGGGTACTTATACAAATAAAAATACCCACATGAAATATAAATAAATACAGAGTCTATAATTTTTACTTTCGCTTAGCTTTGTCTGAAAATATTTATTTCTGCTAAGAAGAGGGTGGAAAGTGAAAGTTGGGTGACGCATGCATCTCACCAGATTTTTCAAACATAACATATTCATTTACTGTAGTACTCAAAGCACAAAAGTTACCAAAAACTTAATTTTGAATTAAAAATGTCTATAAATTTCTTTGAACGTCGCATTTAATTAATGTACATACAAAGTGGGGACATGCCTTTAGCATCAACAGGATTTGAACATATGATTGAGATTAATCTAGAACTCTTAACATGAGTAAGGTGATAAGAAACTTGATAAGGTTATATATTGAAACAAATAAGATGTTGAATAAGAATATTTTTTATTTTTCAAAATATAGTACTAAGAAAAATTGATTATTTCACTATTAATGTAAACATAATAATATAAAATGGTAATATACATCATACATTTAAATTAAGAAGGCTGAACACTGTTCAGAACTAATGTTGGTACAAAAGATCTAGAATCTACTTTGTTAATTTGTCTTGCTTATGTGGTCACTATAATGAGATTAAATTTAAGAACCTGAGTTTTTGTTCTATCATTCTAGATATATAGTTAAGACATATTTTCACTACTATCTACAAATAGTAAAAGATATAAAAGTGAATATAAACATTTTCAAAATCACTAACATTGAAAATACAAATACTAATTAAGAAACTAAATTTACAACAATATTATTCAAAATAATAATTTAAATCAGTCAAACAGAGTTACATTTTGTAAATTTAACTTAATAGTTGTTTTTAAGATTCCATTTGAGGATCATCTTTCTTCTCTTCTTCCTTCTGGCCTTGTTTGGATTGCGAAGACTGTTGAACAGCTGGCTGATTAGTTTGAACTATAGGTATTTCACGTCCACGGGCTTCATCCTTCACCTAAAATCATATTTTAAAAAGTTAGGAGAAAAAAATAATAATATTCTAAGCTATATTATTGTGCTGGTATTGTCTGCCACAGCAGTTAGCAATGACTAAAAGCAAAGCTATCCTAACCAGGATTGGAAGATAGAGATTCCGCAAAATAAATTTAATCAGCTCAGATTGGATTCAAAACTGTGCTAAATTGTACACATCATTTTTTGAAACTGCGCTAAATTGTAAACATAATTTTTTGAAAGGTTATCAAATTCCCTATAATTCAAAATGAAATTTTCAAAACCGCACCAATATTAGTAATTGGTATACTTATTAAATTTTATCGCTTGAAAAGTTTTGTGAGTGGGCACACCAGAAATTTATACATCATGTCTTATTATTTTTATAGGATTGAAATATTTATTACATCATAGAAATAATTAGATTAAATCTAATTTTAAAAAATTCTTTAAAGGTTTCAAATATGCCTAAATCCAACTAAAATTAATTAATGGAAACCATTTTAATCTCAAATAAAATTCTCCAATCTAGACAAGGAAAAATTAATCTCATTTTAAATTTACTGCTGAACTGATTATACTAATAATAATTAATAAATTTAAAATCATAGATATAACTTTAATTCTTAACATATTTTTTCAATCATGAGGCTGACATTTTCTATTACAAGGAACCATCACTAATATTTGATAATGATATTTTAGTCTAATATTTTCTATTACGAGAAATCATCACTTTGCATTAATACATAATTTAAAGTAAGATAATGATTAATATTTTGTAATACCGACATAACCTAGTCTTATTAAATTTTAAACACCTGGCAAAATGGCATGTATTTATTAGATGAGATCAAAACTCTGTCACTGTGTGAATTTCTTCCCAAGCATTACAAATGGAAACAATATTAAGATTTAAATATGTATTTAACTAGAATGTTTAATGCAAGAATAGGCAGAACCAGTAATATATTACTTTAAGAATAGTTGTTTACTTACAATTTTTGGAGCAGAAATAGAAAGAACACCATCTGAAGACAAATGTGAATTTAATTTTTCTTGATCAACATCTTCAGGGATTTTATATCTTCTTGTGAACTGCCTGGAAATAAAGCCATGCTCATCTGACCTTTCCTCATGTTTTCCGTCAACAACTAGGAAGCCATCAACAACTTTTAATTTTAGTTCGTCTGGCTTGAACTGTTGAACATCCAAGTTGACTTTGAACTCATTTTTGTTGCTGGAAAATGTAGAGACATTTGAATCTCCACCTGCCAAATTTCTCCATGGACGACGCATTTGCCCTCCAGATCTTGTGGTTGGCCTTTGAGTTATTTGAAGAATATCTGCTGGTGTCAGATACAATTGGTGATCGTTCAAATCACTTAACCAATGACGGCGGTCATAGTCGTCCACCAAGGCATTAATTAGATGAGGTAAAAGTGACATCTGTAAAAAAATATTATATGAAGTCAAAAAACTTGAGAAAATAAAGTTTGAACAGATAATTATAACTAAAAATGAATTAAATAGACAATATAGCTAAACCATACATGACTTTAATTTAAGAAATGTTTTATAGTCTAATTAAGCAGGCTTTTGTAATAAAAAAAATAATCTTTTTTTAACATTTAAAACTACCATACAATTGCAGTGAAAAATTAATCAAGCATACATCAAATATACTATATTAAATAATATTTAGAAATTATTAAAATTACAGATTACACTCTGCTGAAGAACTTACTACTTTCAAAAAATCTGTTCATGAACAAAAGTGTTGTTTAATTGTATGTAATACTAATTTTATCAAGTGATAAGGAACAAATTGACTACTGAATAGAGAATAAATCTGGTGTTTACAAAATTTAAATCTGTAAATAAATAAAACTATAAATAAATCTTATGTTAGTTAAAATTATTTTGACTGTTTTGGCAATGTAAAAACTCTTTCTTTTATATAGTTTAAAAAGAGTATTTAAAATACATTATTTCAAATATGAATTTTTTTTTTTTCTAAAATACGATTCTAATCACCTTGTATGTCAATTACTATTTATTTTTAAATTATTTAATTTACCGAGAATTTAAATGCTTAATTATTTTTATGTAAACAATTTAAATATTTTATGATTAACATTGTATTTTAGAAAAACAAAATACTTTTTTTTCCCAGGTCTGGTCAAAATCCATCTCTAAAAACTGGAATTGAATAATTATTTTAGTTAGATCCACTAAATGACAGTTATTTATTTAACAAATAATCATTTCAGAAATTGGTTATACCTGTACATTGGTGAAATTTATAACTACTTAAAATTTTAATTAATTAATATATAATTAAATACTACCCAATATAGGTCTTGTATATCACTGTATTTAACTGAAAATCCCACAAGCAAAATGAAACTATTAAAGTAACACTCTTAAAATTATTTATTTAAATATTATTAGTAAAATTAATACAAAAAAAATTTAAAGGTTATTAATATTAGAAAGGAGAAGATAACTATTATCAGTAACTTTTTATTTCTAATAAAATTTCATAAAATTTCTTTCAAGTACAAAAATTGTACAGGAAATAAATTTAAAATTGAAGAAATAAATCTAGAAACCTTAAATTAATAAAATTTTACAATTAACTAAATTTAAAAATAATAAACTTACCTTGAAAAATTAAGAAAGTTTTAAAATACTTGACGTATAACTGTCTAGCTCTGTCAACTTTGAACTGTGCCTGGACCGGCGAGTTCCAAGCTTTTATAAAGAGCGCGCTGTTCTAGAACGTTCCACCCTTTTCTGGAGAAGTCTAGAACGAGCTTATTCAATATTAACGTTAAATTAACAGCTTTTAAAGTATTAAAAATTTAATATTTGTTAAATTTATCACGTTTTTACGAATTTAGATAGTTTAAACCATTAAGCAAATTCACTCAATACATTGTTTCGTACCTTTTTATTAGGTTTGAAGATTTTATGTAATATTGCAACAGTAATGCAACTTGTTTGAAAGAAATCTTACTAACGTAAAAGATCTCTAAATTTAGTGATAATTATTTTTACATTATTAAGGTGCCTTTAGACATTTCACAATTATCTAACTTAACTAATAACCAAGTCCAAATTATTATTTTTTTAATTTTCTTGTTTTAAGATATATTTAAGACAGCTGATTGAAAACATAAAAAACACTAGCATGGAGAAAAAAAAACATTTTAATATTTATGTTTTTCATAGTTTGTGAAATGTGTAAACGCACCTTTATGTGGTCAACTCATTTATGTTGCTAACATGTGTATATTTTTGTTTTCATTGTGACTAATTGGTAAAAATATGTATGCAGCTGTAAAAATATTTATATACTAGTGTTCACCTAGTGGTCGAAATTCGACCATAGCCATTAAAAATTTGAGGAAAAGATATAATTAATTAAAAAATAAAGTAAATAAATAAAGAGTAAATCACGATTCAAAAATCCTCATTTATTAATGCAAACAAAATTTCAATTTCAATTAAAAATCGAGCTTAAGTCATTTAAAATTATTTATAAGTAATACAAAATATACTCATTCAAAAATATTTAATTTTAATTTTAATTTATGTGTGTTATTATCGCAATAAATTGTTATGATTAAGCAAGTAATAAATAAATATAAATCCATTTTTATTCAGAACTTCTATGTAAATAATGTTCTTTTTGAATGTTCTGTAATTGTTTAGTGCATAGCCATGCCCATTGCCATTGAAAGTATAAATTTCAATATTTTAAATGGACGTGCTCTAATTGCTGCCACATATAATTGTACCTGCGAAATTACTGGACGTCACAATAATACACACATTTTTTCAAAACTTTTATCCTACGATTTGATTATGGTCATAGTAAATGCAGTTATTAATAGGAACGTTGTTCTTTGAAAGTCGAATGTAAGTATAGTGTCAGAAAATGTTAAATTAATTCTTGGAATTAAAATTCTTTAATTTAAAGTAGCCCCCGTTAATACTTCAGTCTCATTCCTGTTCCATTAACTAATGCTTGTGCAGTATTTAAGTTAACAATGAGTATAACTATAGAATATATTTTTAAATTTAATTTATTATGTATCATTCAGCTAACATTACATGATATCATCTCTTCAAATAATAGACCCAATTACCTCAGAAAATGAAAAGTTTTCGATTTATCAAAAAACAAAATAAAATAAATCGAATTTGGAAGGGAAAGAAACGTACTAAATGTTTAAAATGATATATCTCTGCAACAAATAGTCAGATTTCGATGGTTTTTTTTTTTATTTTGTAGATAATTTTGGAAGCTTTCAAATAAATATTGGTATTATCAGTAAAAAAATGTGTACTTTTTGAGTTATTCGCAAATAAAATACTGAATTCGTTATAAAGATGTATGCAGCTTGTTTTCGGGAAAGTATGTTATATACATAAATTATAAAGGTTTCAAGGGGAATACTTTAGCCAAGTTTCATTGAAATCATTGAAGCCGTATTGGCGTTACATTCTTAAGCGAATCACGTTTTTCGGCCGCCATTTCGAAAGGAAAGGCCCGATGATAATGAAACGTATCTAAAAAACTTCTAAATATTATTGCGACGTTGTGTCAAAATTTTAAAAAGATCGGTGAAGAACTTTCGGAGATAAGCCGTTTTGAACAAACTACCATTTATATTTGTATTCACATATTATTTAATAATTGTATTTATTGATAACACTAAAGCTCGTCAATATCTATTAAACAAAAAAAGAAGGAAGAAAATCGGTTGAATAATAGAGGAGTAAAAGGGGCTGAGCCGAATTGTGTTTGCCTATTTATATAATGATTTGCCTTTTATTCACATTTTAGTATTATATGGTTATTCTTAACTGCTAGAAGTGGTAAGTGGGTCATCAAAAATGATGACAAAAAAATGTATTTTTAATATAGGCATTAGAACTCTTCTTGCATAATTTGAAAATTTTCGAATCATTTATTCTAACTAAAAGTAATTATTTTTAAATTCCTCGACACATTCTAAATGCCAATCTGATCGTCAAGATTTTTATACAAGTAGAAAGGGAATTTTTAAATAAAATGATGAAACAGTTCTACATTTTTTTAGATAAAAGTAATATACATTATAAATTTAAAATCATATTTTCATAACATAAAATTTGAATACACTGATATATATATATATATATATGTGTGTATGTGGTTGATATTGATGTAGATGATTTTCGTTCTTTTTGCTCAAATTCATCGCTAAATACGCTTCTTGAAGTTTTGTTTTTTTAATTTAAGAGACAGATCTCTGAAATTTTGTATGTAAACATTATGAAATTCAACACACATTATCATGGTACTAAACCAAATTACAAGCGAATGGAATTTAAAAAAAATATCGCTACGGAAATGTCTTGAATTACAATAGTAAGAACTTCAATCTTTTGAGGTTTTCTTTCAATTATTCCCTTCATTTCTAATCGAACAAACCAAACATCATTGCATATACTATCTATTACAAAACATTCGTTTTGAATTTTTAAAAAATCTGACCAGTAAGAACAGACTATATAATGTTCACAAAAAATGCTAATTTAAATACGGGAGTGGGGTCGAGGTAATACAATACCCTAGTGGTCCAACCCCTATTACAATATTATAATTCGTTGGGTACCATAAACCGTTAGTATTTGTGTTGTACAATAATTAATTCCATAATTTTACAAACAAATCTTAATGGCATCGAAATGCGTAATGTTCTGAGTTCCACGCACACTTACTTTTTCAAGAAAGTAATTTAATAATTTGCATTACCCTAAATTAATTAGCAAATTGTTTTAGAAATGTAAGAATTCGTTATGATTACAATTAGTATTTAATCGTTATTATAGTTTATATAAAGTACGAAGTTTTTGTAACAGAATGACTAACTCCAATTTCAACATTCTTTATTATTAGTCTTAGTGATGTTTCTAGTGGCAAAATTTATACCTTTATTCACAGTTCTATATTTCAACACTGCAATCACCTACTACGGAATCAACTTACTTACTGTCTGTATAGATATCACTTTTCCAACAAGAAATATCAATAAAATGACATTACTCAAAAATTTTGAAATTGGAGTTAGTCATTCTGTCAACTGAAAGGCTCAGAGACTGAAGTTATATGGTTTATAAAACTAGATTTGTATTGCTTATCGTCGATATAATAAATAGACTTTTTGTAATTTTAATGAGTTGTTATCTGTAAGCTTTAGCTCTGTTTAAAATGCATTTTATAATAGCTCAACATTGCCAGAAAATAATTTCTATTCAAAGTAGAGCGGTAAGTGAAAGTTGTGTATTGCGTGCATCAGATTTTTTTTGACTGATCACCCCAACCATTGTTATCTTCTTTTATGTTTTATTTATTTCTTAATAAATTCAAGATACATTTAGGATAAATGTATTACTAGCTGACAGATTTAAGAATATTCTTTTGAACTGTTATGAGTAAAAACATACATAAAAATATTGTATTTTTCTTTAATTCATCTTATAGAACTACTTCTCGCCTTACCCATACACATTTCAAATCCATGAAACATGCATCAATATTTTAAAATATTATATTATATTTAGATATTATTATTATTATTATTATATATCATTGTAATAATGCATACATAATAATACATACAATACATCTAGTAAATTTGAACATAATGTATATAATGACATGAAAACACTTGCTGAGTAACTACCCAATGGTAGCACTCTAATGATATGTGTACATTAGAAGATCACGGGACCATCTTCTTTTCAGACGCCTTGGAGGGTTATCAGGAATTGAAGAGGAACCAAGGTTAGAAACGAGAGGGTTGGGCTGATTCTGAAGTTTATTATGGAAGGATAGGTATCTGGATTGGGCAAGATCTGAAACAAAAGAAACATTAAGGTCATTATGGATGGTTTTATTTGTAACAAAGTAGGGAGCATTGAGGATTTTACGAAGGATTTTGGATTGTGAGGATTGGATACAAGAGGAATTCGATGGTTTAGTGAAGCCTTATAGCTCAACTCCGTAAGTCCAAATAGGCCTTATTATAGTTATGTATATGAGTCTTTTGTAATTAATTGGAAGTTTTGAGCGTTTGTCTAGTAAGTGCTGAAGTAATCGGAAACGTCCAGCGGTTTCTTGTCTAGTATGATGTTATTCATTTTAAAATGCATATTAGAAAAATTACTTTTAACTTAGGAAAAAACTAACTTAATTTCATTTTTTGATATATTTAATCGAAATCACTGTTTTTTTAGCGAATGATTAGTAAATGGTCTCATTTTTAAGACCCTTCTCTCTTCAAATTACATCTCTTTGAATTTAAGAGAGTACAGACCTGTCAGCTACCAGCGACAGGCTCCATTATAAGGCTGAATTAGCTGACGCCCTTTAAATTTCCAATTCCTTTATAAAGGTAAATTAGAAAAAAGGATAAAATATAATCTAAAAACATTTGAAGAAAAAATAAAACGAAAATTTTGGGATAAATTAAATTAGCTAAGCATAAAATCGAACATAAGGTATGGCATTAGCGGATCCAGATAATTAATTTGAAAAAAAAAAGAAATTAACTACCTATTTGAAATGGTGTTTAAGTGGTTCTTGAAGTCCTATTAAATGTAATTAAATGAACAAGAATACTTTAAGAGATAGTATTTAATATTTTTTTCTGGAAAACATGGTTATATTTTACCATTTTGGGGGAGGTGGCTTCAGCCCGAAATTTTCATTTTGACTATATTAAGGAGATATTTAATGCATAAAAATAAATTCATATATATATATATATATATATATATATATATTTTTTTTTTTTTTTTTTTTTTTTTTTTTTCCCTACGTGGTAACCCCACACAAGGATCGTTTATTTGATTTTCCTTCATGCTCCATGCCTTAAAGACATACTACATGAATTACATTTGTTTACAATTGTTTTTTTTTTTCTAGTTTCACATGATTTACATTTTTAGTTCAAATTTATATACATTAACAAAAAAAAACACAAAAAATAAACACACAAAAATTAAATCGGAAAATTAAATATTAAACACACAAAGTCAATCCAACAAAGCCAAAAAGAAATCACCCACGCTGCCCATCCCTGGTTAGTAAGTCGAAGTCGATCGATCTAATAAATCTAAGAAAGTCTGTCTTGAATTCAGTAAATAACTTTTGTTCCGTCTCAGGCCAATTTCCTCTTTTGATAATTATGCTTTTTATTAACTCAAATCGCTGTCTGTCAAATCGTTTACATTCATATATTATATGTTTAAAATTTTGAACCTGTCCGTCTTCATCACATAAGTCTGTTTGTATAATGTTGAATCTTTTAAGATATTGTTTTGTATTCCCATGTTCCGTAAGTACTTGCGTAAGTTTGTAGTCATTACTGTGAATGTGTCTGTAATTGTGAATTGAAATGTGTGGTATAAATCTGTGTAAGCTTGGTGACTTAGCTGAGGTCACCCATATGTGATCCCATCTTTTGATGAAATCCAACTTTAAATTCATATTAATATACGATAAAGGAGCTTGATGATACGATGGCGGCAAATCGCTTTTAGCTGCTTCTTTTGCAAGGCAATCGGCTCGTTCATTGCCCTCAATCCCACAATGTGCTTTTACCCATTTTAGAGTCACTACTTTCCCTACAGTTCTCATCATTAACAATTTGTTTCTAATTTGGTCAGTCAAGTAATCATGAATGTCCCAATTATTAACAGAGTCTAGCAGAACTTTGTTGTCTGTATTTATAGTAACGTGAGTATTCGTTTGTAGAGGGTATTCATATATGTATTCAGTAACCTTTAAAACAGCGAATTTTTCTGCCTGATTATTTGAGCAATATGATTCTAATTTATATTGATGTTCTATATTCCTACCATCTTGAGCTCTGAACAACCATGCACATCCAACATTCTCGCCGTCCTTACTACCATCAGTGAAAACATCAGTATTTTCAGAAGTAATTCCCGGTCCAGTCCATAAACTTGTTGCAGGGTGTAACCAAGATTTACAGTCAGTGATTCTTTCTATTTTGTCTAGGGTCAGGTCTTTGTATCCTCTCTTTCCTTTTCTAATGTTATATAAGGTCGTTCGTTCTTCAATCTTCATTTGGATTGGCAACAGCCCTGCCAATAATATTGTGGCCTCGAATGATAGTGTACGATAGCCCTTACATATCTTAATCGCAATTAACCTCTGAAGCCTTTCCAACTTCACCAAATTTTTCTTACGTTCAACGGCCGGATGCCAGACATGCACAGCGTAGATATATATATATATATATATATATATATATATATATATATATATATATATATATATATATGTAATGAGAAGAAAAGAAATTAATCAGTATATATCTTTATTATTGACAAAATAACATCTTAATCAAATAATAAAGTCAACTATACATATGTTTTTTTTTTATTTGGTCTGATAGAGCAGGAAAAAAAAAAAAAAAAAAAGGAAACTAAGTCTTGATTTTTAAGATTCCATTTTTTCTTCTTGTTTATTCTTTTCTTGTTGTTGGGAAGAACCTGACTGTTTTAAAGCTGGCTGGTTTGTTTGAACTATTGGTATTTCTCGGCCCTCAATTTCTTTTTTCATCTGAAATAACAAGCTATAGGTGAGCTACAAGTTCAATTAATGTTATTCGAATCGAGAAAAAAAATAAAAATAATTGATATTTAAATTTCAAATTCATAGAGAATGCATTGCCAGGTCAGGCACTCCCTTAATTTTTTAATTATGACATCAAATAACTTATTCTATTTTTTTAGTAATGTTACTCTGAAGGTGTAAAATTTCACCAAGTTTTACAATATTTAAAACAATTATAAGTATAAACTGCATATACAAGGGACAGATAGAATTAATTAATAAGTTACACCTGATTAATAAATTTAAAATTAGTTTAGCAGGCACAGGACAAAATCATATTGTAATATCAAAATATATGTATATATTTGAAAATATTTTGTAAGCAATATCTTGTTAGTTTGCCCTGGGATTGCCAATTAAAAGTGGTTGCGTTTCAACGCAGCTTCAATAACCTATGTCATTCAAAATATATTAAAATTTTGAGGGAAAAATAAACAAAACTTATAGGATGAAATAAGGAGTAAAAAACATATAAGGCCTAAATATCTAATAAAACACTATAATTACAAAATCCCTTATGCACTGCTCTTTTACTGTTTAAAGCTTAAAAGGCATTTCTCAAATCTCAATAATCATTGAAACTGAGTTTGTGACAATTTCCTTAGGATTAAAACAGTTTTTCAAGATTTTTTTTTTGCTTTTGTGATTTTCTATTATTGTAATCAGATATATACAATCATCAGATGTACAATCATCAGAAAATAATGAGATGTGCTTTTTCTTAGGTTTAAGAAATTAGTCATGATGTGGTGCATGTGAATATGATTCATTACTCTAAATTTAAGAAAATAGATAGATAGATAGATAGAAAAAAAAAACTTTATTCTGGGACTAAGTCCCTGTAGCATAACAATATTGTACAAAAGAATAGAATATTACTGGCCTAAAAGTTAGAAACAATAAATAAAATTGATAAAATAAAATAAAAAGTAAAGAAAACCTTAGGTGCACAAGCTATATACAATACAGATAAAACTATGTACAGATCATTTAAAACTATGAACAAAACAATTAAAACTATGAACGAATCACTTCAACTATATATAAGGATTGAACAACATAAACATACTTTGAGAAATGAAGAACAAAAAAGAGATAGAATGAGTTCATTTCATAAAAAAAACTTTACTTGAATATATAAATAAAAATAAACAGTTAATTATAATTGAATAAAAAAAAATGTATGTATTGAAATTCCTACGTCGATAGTAGGAAATGCATGTACTATCTCTTCCCAAGTATTATGATTATATGATTGCTACACAATAGAAATAGAATAGAAAAATCATCTTTATTCTGAGACTAGGTCCCTTTAGAATAACAGTATTGTTCATATATATTAACTATAAATCTGGTCAAAAGACTTATTACAATGAATAATAACAAAATACATGTAATACATTAAGTATTAATTAAGCTCTTAGGATAAATTAACGAGGACAGTTGGGTAATAGGGGTTCAGTACTACAATATTGGAACTAAAATAATTGCATAATAATCACTGAATGAAATTAGAAAGGAAAGTAAAATCTATTTTATAGGTAAAGCATTGTAGTGATAGAATATAAAAATTAAAAAAATAATAATAACTGTTAATATGTAGGGAAAGAAATTGTAAAAACTAAAACAAAAAAAATATAAAAAAACAAATAATGATATACATATGTTCCCTAAGATATTTAAGTGATTATGCGTAAAGATTAGGAGAAGAGAAAATAAAATAAAGTATACATATACACATAGCGAGAAGTATGTTGAAGATAATTAGAAATAAAATACCTTTCACTGAAATACATTTCATGAATAACAAATTAGAACTTAAGAAAAACAAATTTTATCTACTCACAATGCTTAGTGAGTGGTGATGAAAATTCACGTGTGAAACAATAAAACAATATATATAGTATTAATAGTTAGCTGGTATCTGACTGTTTTTGGAAAAGGAATTGGAATAAGAGGTTTTTGAATGTGATAGGGAAGGGGCATGTCGAATTTTGATTGGGAGGGAATTCCAAAAGTTGACAGAGCGGGTTATAAAGGAGTTTTGGAATGAGACTTACTTACATACTTTAAGATACTTACAATTTTTGGCGCCGAAATAGTTAAAACACCATCAGAAGAAAGATTAGAAGACAATTTGGTCTCGTCTACCTCTTCTGGAATTTTATATCTTCTTGTAAACTGTCTGGAGACAAACCCATGCTGATCTGATCTCTCATCATGTTTTCCATCGATGACGAGGAAGCCATCAGCAACGCTCACTTTCAGCTCGTTGGGCCTGAACTGTTGAACATCAAGATTAATCTTGAATTCATCTTTGTTAGTCGAATAGGATGAAACACCGGAATCTCCAGCTGCCATGGTTCTCCAAGGGCGTACATAACCAGATCTCAAAGGAACTGGCAGTATCGGCCCTTGAGCCAACTGAAGTATATCGTTGTTAAGAAGACCCAGCCCGAAGTTCTGATCGTGAAGCAACGGGTGATGATGATAGTCATCTATCAGAGCATTTAACAAATGTGGCAGTAGTGACATCTAAAAAAATATATATTAAATTGCTAGTATATCTTTTTTTTTTTGTATTTTGAATTTTCATAGCAGTAGAAATATTATTGTCATATTTAAATGATAGAAAAAACAAATTCAAAATAGGAATATAAGCAGCACTATTTCTTGACAGATCTGTCAAAATCACATTGCACACAGAATCCAGAATTAAACAGATACAAACAATGTTCGTAGGTCCCATTCTCAATTAAAATGGTATTTGTTAATCTCTTTAAATGCATAGAATCTATAAGAGAACATAGTTGTCAACATTTGGCTACTTTCAGAATTCCATCTATAGTATAATCAATTTGATTTTGACCCACTAAACAACCAGCTATATAAAGTGATGAAAACCTCAGGTAATTTAGTTGGTAAAACTCATGTTATTCATATTATAGATATCAATAAGTTAAGTATGGGTGAACACAATTGTATCATGAACAGTTCTTTTCCATAATCTGGTAAGTAACCTTGAACTTCAATGAATTTTCAATACTAAACAAACTGCTTCATTTGTAATTTTTCATAGATTTAATATAGGTTCTAATTCAATATTATACATATAAAATATCACGCGAAATAATAAAAAATATTGGTATAATTATACGAACAATAACGTTTGTAAATTAAAGAAACATATTTCAGTTCAAATTATTGTAAAAATCACAAAATAAATAATGAAAAAGTATGAACTTACTTCAACGCAGTAAAACTAAACAGATCAATAGCAACAGTTGTGACTATCTAAAAGTTTCCGCTAAATTCGAAATTCGCTTGTCACTGCCTTTTGAATATTTGTATCATTATAATGTATTAAGTTTTATTATATTGTGGATCAGCATTAAAATTAAATCACTTTATGTGATGCCACTATTTTTATTTTTATTTTTTAAGAAATTAACTAATATATAGTACCAATGTTTTATAAAAAGAATTATGACATTATATACAATATTGTGGATCTGATTTAAGGATTAATTCTCTATAAAAACAAGAACTTTTTTATTTTATTAAGATAATAGATAATTAAATTGATGATAAACATTTTATTTAATCTAAATAAGAGAAACAGGTAACTCTTTATCAACAATATTTTTTTTTAATCTATAATCACATATGTTTTTTTAAATTTACTCTATTACAACATTGATGTTTTTTTGGTGGTTTGTTTAATATATGGTCGAGATAACTCTAGTGAATGGCAGGATTAATTTTTTTTTGAGGGGGGGGGTGGCTTCAGCCCGAAAGGTTTTTTTTCATAAAAATAACGATAATTACTTTGGAAAATAAGAAAGAAACTAACTACCTACATGAACTGGTGTTTAAGTGATTCCTAAAGCCCTTTTAAATGTAATTACACGAATAATTATATTTTAAGAGATCATTTTTTAATATTTTTTTCGATAAAACATGGTTATATTTTACCATTTGGGAGGGGGAAGGCTTCAGCCCGAAAGCCCCCCCCTCCCCGTAGATCCGTCCGTGGTCGATATTGTTGGAAAGTAATTTGTTCTCTACCGATTAAATATACTGGAAGTTGTTCAAGTTTCTTGCCTAAAGTCAGATGTCTGATAATTTCTAAAGAGGCCGATTGGTTTCCTAATCGGCTAATATTTTGGCTGAACTTAATCGAAACTTGAATGACCTGTCTGAAGGCACGGTTGTAAAATATATTGGCAACATTGATGTAAACGCATCAATGTTGCCAACATATTTTATCACCTACAAGGGGCGAGAATATCGTTTCACCTCTCCTCCCCCCCCCAAATATTTCAAAGAATAAAAATAAACAAAAAATCAATAACAATTGATCTACATCAATCACGGGCGGATCTACGGGGGGGAGAGGGGCTTTCGGGCTAAAGCCCCCCCCAAAATGGAAAAATACAAAATGGAAAAATATTACCATGTTTTATGGGAAAAAATAATTTAAAAATACCTCTTAAAGTATTATTGTTCGTGTAATTACATTTAAAAGTACTTAAGGAATAACTTAAACACCATTTCATATAGGTAGTTAGTTTCTTTCTATTTTTCCAAAGTAATTATCGTTATTTTTATGAAAAAAAAAGGTTTTGGGCTGAAGCCCCCCCCCCAAAATTAAATCCTGGATCCGCTAGTGACATCAATGAATAATATATGTTAGCTAAAATCAATTAAGAAAATAGGAAAAGTCGGCTATATAGATAAACTAAGGCCTAGAAGTAGATACGCAAGTATTTTACCATACTTGGCCATTTACCATGGCAACCGGGTGGGCGACCTGGTTGGGCGCTCGCCACTTTATAGAAATTAATAATAATACAAAAGTATTAAAATAATTAATTTTAGCCTTTCAATAAAGCAACTGTATTAGAGAAATATTGAATGAAATATTCAAGTATTGCATAGCTTAAGAAATAAATTTAATATTTTTTTTTTTTTTTTTTTAGTAAAGATAACGTCATTATCCGGGGGGAATGTCTAAGGTCAGCACTGTTAACCATGCCGTGTGTTCCTGTTATTGATATTATATTATAGTTATTGGTTATATTATAGTATATTATTATAGTTTATAAGCATCAGATAATTATATGTAGCAACCTATTCTACAATTATATGATTCATTTATGTGAACCCTTCCATTTTTAAGTGAAGATTTCAAATTTACCGCTGTAAATTTGAAGCATCAGAGCATCTCACTACCTCAAACTTTAAAATAAAAATAAAATATACACTATATACAACTGCTCTGTTAAGGGATTTTCAAATATATCCGTTTCGTAAAAATAAATACAATTATATAAATATTTTATGTTACTTAAATATAAATATAAATATTCGAACCGGAACATTATCCCCAAAACAAAAAAGTATATCTACAATATTGTAGTACTGAGCATTATGACGTATGGGTCAGAAACTTGGACCTTAAAAGGCAACCTCAGTAAGAAACTCCTAACCACAGAAATGCAATACTGGAGACGAGCGGCGGGAATATCCAGAATGGATAAAGTGAGAAATACAACCATCAGAGAAAAGATGGAGGTTAAAAGAACCATTCTGGAAGAGATTGAGAAAAAACGCCTGGAGTGGTATGAACATTTGAAAAGAATGGCTCAAAGAAGACTACCCAAGAGAAGTCCACTTATGGAAAAGAAGGAGAAGAAGAAGACTAGAAAGACCTGGAATAACGAAGTGGAGGAATCCATGATGGGTCATGGTCTACGGAAAGAATGTAACTTAGATAGGACATTATGGAAAGAAGCCATCCAAGCACTCTATGTTAAGGGAACCCACTGTTAGTGGAAACTCCTCTCCCCCCAAAAAAAAATATATATGTAAATATAGTATTATATTGTTCGTTTTACAATCGTTATCACTATAAAATCGCTTAACCATTTATATGTGTTCAAACACATTACAAAGTTTATACAATACTTGTGTTATTTCTTTTAGCTCATTTTACAACTGAAGTGTCATCTATAGAAAAAACTTTCTTTTTCATCATGAGCCAAAATGTTGGGAGACCATTGCAATAGCTATACACTTTGATGTGTTTAATAAGTATTGCAAAAGAAATTTCAGCAGTCTATACAACGGTTTTCGGCTAAAAAAGCATATAAACTGTTTGGATCTCTTTTTCCATACGGGTTATCAAAATCTAGCATATTGCATAAAAACTCAAAAAGTAAAAACTGTTCCTTGGTTCTTGGTTTATGATTAAGGGAAGGTGTAGTATGTCGATAAGTCTCATTGAAGGGCTAACTTTTTTCGTTATGTTATCATCGCTTTGTTATAGTTCTGCCTGTTGTTTTTTTATTTTTTAATAAAGCCTACATTTTTAATTCAGTATTTTTTTAGTAAGGGAGCATTTTATAAATAAATGTGTTGACATGGAAATTATTTTTATCAAAATTGGAGGTTATTTGAACAGCGTATTATGTTTGGGCTCATCTGTTAACCTGACCAATTGGTTACCTTCTTATCTTAAGGCAAATCGAGGCATATTCCCGCATTTTGCCTCAGTTTTATGGGAATTTGCCCGAGTTTGCTAGCGCCACTGTCGTAGAGAACAAAGGAAAGGGCGAGAGTGGGAGAAGGTGGTGGGGATATTTTGACCAGCTGGTGGAAGGTAATGGGCTGTTTACCCCGGTTTGTTGCATATCCATCCGAAATGGAAAACTTAGGCAAAATCCAAGCAAGTTTTGCATTATGGCCGTTGCGCTACGCTAGTGATGCATTGAATAGCCACTGTGATTGGCTGACACAGAAACTTCCATTTTCCGCTTTTTTTTTGCAATATCCGGAATAAAACAAAATTAGTGCGCACAACATACAACTTTCACTTACCTTTCTACTTTGAATAGAAATTATTTTCTGGAAATGTTGAGCAATTATAAAAATTTTTAAGTGCACTTTTAACGGATCTATAGCTTAAAGGTCTACAGCTAACTAATCATTATCATCCCTAAAATAACAGAAACCCTATTAATTATATCAACGGTAGATAATAAAAACCTCCCTACCCCATCTTTTTTCGTAAACCATATAACTCCGGTCTCTGAGCAATATACATATGTCTAGAGAGATTTTCAAGCATATCTCTATATTCAACCTATAAATTATTATGGATTCTACGCCTATTAGTTATTAAACTGTTACTTTCCATTGTAAAGTTTACTACAAAGAAATTACGAGATTTTCATAGCCTGTCATAGATAGCTCAAAAGTTGTTACACTAATTTAACAAAGGGAAAATTCATCAAATTACTCACTAATTTAATTTTTTTAAATGTTATACGACGATCAACGGACGTTGATACCTAATTATTTAAATATAATATCAGATTTAGAATTATTAAACTACAGTAAATGTATTTAAGGTTATAAACATAGGCTTTATACATCCATTTAATATTTTTATATTTCACTTCTTTCACATTAGTACTATGAAATAGTTTTTTAACAATAACATTGCGTTGATTAGGTGAATTTTAAATACTTTTTCAAACTTAAAAACAATTTAAATTTAGTTAGTAAATTTCATTTATTTAATTTCCTTGAAAAAATGTGATTTCCGTAAAATAATATTAGTTTACACAAATTATTATTTATAATAATTTCTCTCCATTACTTTCTATATTTCATATTGTTTTTTTCTAAAATTATCCGCTTTCCAACGATATAACTTCTGACAAGTATTTCCGGAAATTCATTTTCATCCTCAATACACATTTTCCCTTTTTTCTTCATTTTTCAATTATCAAATTCTTTCAAAAGTTATATTTAGCATTTTTTTGGTAATTATTAATAATGAGAGATGGTTAATTATTTACGATTAATCAAATTAAATGTACTTTAGAGGAAGATATGTTGAACATTTCGGCATTTAAGCTATGTAAAGTGACATTAATGGGGATAAGACCTCAATGATATTAAAGACCACTTAATTATACAACGATACACGAGTTTAATCAAAATCTTTTCAAAATCAAAATTTTCTGTGCAACTAACTTTCTGTCTTTCAGTAATAACAAACAAATCATTATAAACTACAAAAATTAAATGAAGATATTATTTACCATTAAATGAATTATGGAAGTTTGTTAGCAGAAGGATTCATATAAATAAAATCAAATAAGATATGAAATATAACATATTATATCTTTTAACATTTTTACATAATATATTTTAAATATCAAAACTTTTAATCCATTACTTATTATTGCCATTTTTCATTACTTATATATATTTATTTGATTTATTATATTTCCATATATTTGCCATTTTGTACTTATCATCTTTTTGTGTGTAAGGCATATATATCATAACCTCTCGTACTTATTCATTACCTGTTATTATCATAAACTAAGCTTTTGTTAATTCATCTAATTACATTTTATTATTTAGATCTTATTATTCCATTTCATGTTTCTTCTTCATCTAATACTACTCTTCATTATTTATTTCCGTTTTATAGTTCAATTGAAATACTCTATAAAACCAATTATGTCAAGTTCCACTTTTGGTAAAATTAATTCAGCCAACAATTTGCAATTACATCGCTGCCATACTCCTATCAACCTTAATAAATAAGTATAATCACTTAACTTTTCAATTTTTAGCTTGATTCTGCATTTACACAAAAAAACCATTACGCAAAAAGTTTTTTTTATACAGGGAAGTGCTTACAGAACCCTACAACATGTTTTTCAATTGAAAACTCAGAGTTGAAATTTTTAATGATCCCAATACTTCGCATTACATTAAAATAAAATAATATCCATTTTCAAATATTATTTACAGTCAATATAAAAAAAAAAGTTCAAAATTTATTTATTTTTTAACCTATGCTTGTTCTACATTTAGAGAGTTGAAAACAAGTATTCATTATTTTTTTTAAATGATTAGTTTCTTTTTCAGTGTCCATATTTGTGTCAGGCTGTCTACTAATTTTACATTTCACAGACATTAGTGTTAAGCTATATCTCTTTTTTTTTCTATATCTTCAGTTCAAATAAAACCGAACAACTCACAAAATTACTAACCTAGACTCTAATAAAGTTGCATTAATAACATTTTAAGCACATATTGAAACACCATAATACAATACTATATTTGTAATTAAATGACTGTATCATGGTTAGAGACTAACATCATACAGTGCCAATTTTGATGCCTACTTCAATAAATAATCAACCATCCTAAGCCTAAAAAAGTTATATTTGTATAAAACATTGTCTGATTAAAATAACAATTAAGTCTAAGTGTGGAAATTTTAACCACATAGTGAGACTGCCTTTGTTTTGTTATTCGCATTTTTAATTTTAGAAATTTGACATATACCTATCATTTATTGGTTATTTATACACAAGTTGTAATATATATGTTTGAAGGGAAATGATGGAAGATGTTATTTATAATACATACAACCCATATATTTGCAAAATATAATAAATCATATACATAAACTAAATTTAATAATTATAATGTTGCTAGAAAATTAATCTTTATATCTTAACTTTGTTATTATTATACAAAATAGAAATTCTATTAATGAACAAATAAATATTTTTAGGTTCAAATATACAATACAAAATATAAATGAATTAATACAACATACAAATTAATGAATACAAGATATGTTTTTGTTTATACATCATGAATAAAGGAATTTAACATTACAAATAAAGCATTTTTAAATGCATCAGAAAAATCTGAATAACTAATGAGTATTCTAATAATTTACTGGATTATTCTCCATCTTCTTCAAACACCTTTAAAAAGGCTTTATTAATAATATGTCTTTTTGGAGGTACAACCTTACTAGTATTTACAGAAAAAGTGTCTGTTTTATATTTTTTAAATGGCCCAGCATGTTGCTGGAAAATCACTCTTTATGGTGCATTCGCAATACCACGGGCACAGGCTGCCATTTTGTTTAAACTAGTGCTGGTTTCAATATTACAAATATTTTTATTCCACAAAGTCCGCACACATCTTCCCCAAGCCTTGTTCCATTTCACATATGCACAAACTTTGTTCTGGTTGAAGTAATTGGTCCAACCCTTCTCCTAACATGGACCCATAATTCTGTGCAATTGTTTTGGGTTTATTTGTATTTCCGCACTGTTTTTCTATTATTTGGACGAGTTTATTGAACGGGGCCATAATTTTCTCTTCGCCTTTGTTTGATTTATTTTTTGTCTTAGGCTGCAATACATACCGTTGTTCAATAAAGATGAATCATCGAGTACTTCAGCCTGTCCTTCATGTTCACACTCAACAGTAGGGGAACGCTGAAAAAAAAAAAAAATTACCAATCTTAGGCCTGGTATCATCCAACTAAAAAATCAGATTTTTTAATTTCGTTATAATTTTTTCCCTTCTATTTTTTGCGATGCTTATAACACATTTAGTTGAGATTTTCATTTTTAGAGGAGGGTCTATGTCTGGCACACTTTAAGACTCAATTTTACAGAGAACAAATAAAAGCTATGTAACATTTACATTAATAATGAAAGTCGAGGAAAAAACAAAACTAATCCTTAATTGAAATAGGAAACAATGGAATCAAATTCATAACAGAAGAAAATAAATAATTTGTTACGGGTAAACAGATAATGTGGAGGGTTAAGGAAACAAGACAGAATGGCTAAGGCATCATAGGGCATTTTCTCTTTATAGTCATTACCCTATGTACATTGTTTTGCTATATGAAAAAGTATAAAAAAAATAACTTAATCATAGACTAGGAGGGATATCGAAAACTAACAATGAACTTCCAATTAACTAAATATAAATAACCAGTTAAATGCTAAATAATTAACACCCCTTGTCCATTGTTTCCTTTGAGATGATGTACTTAAGTTGGACGTTAGAAAAGAAAATAGAACTAAATTAACTTACTACAGACTTAATTGATTGTTTGAATTGAAAAATAATAAAGTAACACTTGCAAATTTAGTAAAAGAGGAATTAACCATTCACTAAATTGTAAAAAATGTCTATACAGTAAATCAAAGAACCTCATAAATAAATGAAGAAAAAAATTTTTAAATGCATTCCTTGAATCAAATAATTCAAAAAATATTGGCAGCTCATTGCAAAGTAATTAAGTGAAAATTCATTATTTCTTAAGTAATCAAGAACTTTGAATATCTTTTTCTTTATAAAATCAGAAAATTGTGTGCTTCTTGTAAGTATAATTGATGTATAAAAGGGTTTGTTTCATTTCCATGCCCATACAGTGTTTTTGTATAGGTAAATAAAGTCAAAATTCAAAAAAAAAAATCTTGAAAGTTAACCTATATCAAATATGCACATAGTGCATGAATTGAATGCAGTAAACGGAGGATATATCAAGAATTTTCACTGGTTAGAGAATTAATAATTGACTATGTTTAACGGAAGGAAATTGACAATCCTAGCAATTGTGTGTGAAAAATTACATAAAATCGCGTTAATTAGCTTTACAGAAATATATTTTGAAAAACAAGGTAAAATGTATTTATAGAGAAATGTCATAGCAAAGAAATAAACAACTGATATTAATAAGGAAAACTAAGATCAATTTTATGCTTACCTTGTATGATTCTCATGAATTTTCGACATCTGTCATCTTCTTTGTTTTCTCCACTTATTTTCTTCTACTTGCTTTTATTTTATAGAAGACATAACCAAAAGTAGCAATCAACTCCACGGCAATTCTAGAAGGTCCATGTTGTTTGCTTGGACTGACTCCGTCCTACTGAGCACATTTTCCATGGTTAACGAGCTTCGATTAGTTCCTTATTTTGCCGCAAGTTTGCCAGAAATTTTGCCAAACCGAGTTTGCCTGTAGTGTGGGCCCAGCATATTAAAAACATGGGTTGTGAATAATTCTGTTGTACAGCAGGAATTATCTGGCTTAAAACATGTCAGGGCGTCAGCAATTGGTAATGTTCTAAAATAATCATTAATAATTGATTATTTTTTTTTTTTTACTTATTAAATATATTCTATACTAACTTAAATATGTTCTTTTCCAGAACAAATTGAAGTCTTTAGCTATTGTATGCACTGGAAGTGCTTTTGCTTATTCTGGCCTTTGCATTTATCAGCATAATGAGAAATTTTATGAAAATGTTCTTTTACCAGCAGTACATACTCTAGATCCAGAATTTTCGCACAAACTAGCTGTTAAAGTTAACAAATATGGCCTTCTTCCTCGATCAAAATATGTCGACCAACCAGTACTCGTTAGTAAACTATATGTATTTTTTAAACTCTTGCTGGGTTATTATGAAATTAATAGTTTAGTTGATAATTCCGATTTGTTCTATCTGTGTAGCAAATATGTTCTAGAACAGTAAAGTATGGAATCTTGAGTTCAACAATCCTATTGGCATGGCTGCTGGTTTCGACAAAGATGCAGAAGCTGTAGAAGGTCTATTGAAAATTGGATTTGGTTTTGTCGAAGTTGGCTCTGTGACACCCCTTCCGCAAGCAGGCAATGAGCGTCCTAGGGTTTTTCGGCTTCAATCAAATAAAGCTATAATTAATAGGTAATTTTAAATTAATCGATAAAGTTAAATTAATTAGTTAATGTATTAAATTATACTGGTTAGCCCCTGGGAATAATTTGAATAGTAGGTAGTGAACAAATGGTAATATAATCTAGAATTAAGTGATGATACTAGTTCACAAGAGTTCCGCACGGATTACGCATGATTCACAATCACTTCGGTCACACCTGTTCATGGAGTGCCGAATGCGTTCGGATTTATCCGAAATAGAACGAAAGCGACCGATCTCTTGAATCAGTTACTATTAACTTTTCTGCCATTTAAGTGCTTCTACAACCTTAACCATGTTCAGTTGTATAGCAGGAGCCGACTTACATTTGAAATTTAGACTTCACATCATGAAACCTGAATCAAACTTGTATATATATTATAGATCCGTGAAAAGTAAATAGTAATAGATAAAAACTTTTAATTATGACATCTCTGAATGCTATTTCACGATATTATTTTTCTTATTGTTGATTTCCATTATTCATTAACTTGGAATTATCAGATATTCTTCGTCAGTTGTTTCCCCAATACGTTAATTCCTTTCTTGAAAGTAAACACGATTTTTTTTTTTTTTTTACGGATGTCTACTGTAATTCCTATTTTGGATCACCAAGAAAAATAACTACGAATAACCATCATTATACAGCTTGTTCATTCAATAAAAATAATAGCCATTAAAACCAAAAAATAAATTTTAAGTTAACAGTTAACTAACTGGCACATCTACGAGTCTCGTTGGGATTGGACATTTTTGGAATAAATATTTATCTATATAACAATTGAGAGATACATTTTATTTATTAATATTGTACACTTTTCTGCAATCTTTAATCTGACATTATTTTCGTAAAAAGCATCCTTGACAACTTAACAGTGGATTCTTATATCTAAGAAGTCCAAACATCTATCAAAAATCTAAAAAAATCGACGAACAATTTTAAATCAAACGGTATATTCATAAAAAGCTCCGACAACTAGACAATAGTGGATCCGTATATCTAAGAATTCAAATAAGTTAAATAAACTTGATGCTAAATCTGAAATCTTTTTTTTTTCTCAAATTTTTTTGTTTTTCTTTCACAGTAATAACCGTTATGATAAAAATTAATAATTAACAAGTTACACAATCTGTTAATAAATTGTTAATAAGGAAGTTCCATGAAGGGAATACATTTTTTTTTTCTTTTTCAAAAATGCATGAAAAGGGATTGTGTGATGGGGCAATAGCTGACGTCATAAAAGACGACAACATTCCACTGTTTTCGGGGATTCCATGAACAAGTGTGATCGAAGTGATTGTGAACCATGCGTAATCCGTGCGGAACTCTTTGAACTAGTACCTAAGTGATTGTGATAATGATATTACGAATAATATTTACAAGCGTTGCCCCATCATTGTGATTTAGTACAAGATCTCGCGATCAAACTTTAGATGGAATTATGAAAATTATTGCCCTTGGATAAGGCCCGGCTTCAACTGAAAAGGACCACTTGATTGTTTTATTGTTCCTTTTAAGTGAGTGCAGCAAATGAAAGTTGGAAACAATGATATAATCAAAGCTAATTGTGGCCCTCACTTAACTGAAAAGGACCAGTTGTAAGTTTGCAGAATTTGCGAATTGTGATCTAAATGAAGTGAGGTTATCCTTGTGAACATTTAGTTTACAGTTCTGTTGGATCTCATTTATATCATGATCAAGAAATTTTGTATCCATCTGTCACAGTGGAGAAGTACTTTTGAAGTAGTTCCAAATTATGTTTCAAACTTTAAAAATAAGATGGATTAATTATAGTAAATACTTTTTTTTTTTATTTAATTTTCTTCTCCCCTTCCTTGCCTCTTATGCTACATGGGGATTTCCAGTCTGCGGAAGAGAGTAGAGGAATTATGCTGAGTTAAAATTCCCACCGTGTACCGGGATTTGAACTCGTAATATTTTTCCATCTAAACTTTGGTTATCAGGTTGACGGGCAATGCTCTGCACACGCATTAGCCCACTATGTCACCCTATCCCCAAATACCTACTTACTTACCACGCAGCTCTACGGCCTGGGGTGGGCCTTGGCTTCCTGGATTATAGCACGCTAATCATCCCTGTTCTTCGCACTATCCTTTCTGTTTCTCACACCCAATGTTTTAAGGTCTCTCTCAACATCCTGCAGCCATTTTACTTGGCTTTCCTTTTCTTCTAGTGCCATACATTGTGGAAACAATGCCCTATAAGGCATCCTGCTGCTGTGCATTCTAGCCACATGGCCTAACCATTCTATGCGCCTAGTTTTAATAAAATGAACTATGTCGCCACTATTACATAGTTCATGTAGTTCGATACCTCCACACACACTCTTCACAAACAGCTCCATCAATTCTCAATATTTTTCTTTCAAAAATATTCGACATACTAATTATACTTGCACAAAGGATCCATGTCTCTCCGCTACATAAGTCACTATAGGTCTTACTAAAGTCTTATATAATCTTAACTTTGTTTCTCGTGACAGCAGCGATGATCGAAAAAATTTTTGGTTGGCACAATATGCCCAGTTTCCAGCCATGATCCTCTTGCTTACCTCAGCAGCAATTTTATTTTCAGAATTTACTTCCATTCCCAGGTACTTCAATGTTTTGACATACTCGAAGGTAAGACCACATTTTTCAACGCTTTGAGGACCAGCCTCATTGTCGGCCATGACATACATGTATTTTGACTAATTTCATTGTATTCATCTCTTGATTAATATGATTATAGTATATATCATAGTGTGAATTATCAATAAAATAATGAGTTTTTAATAAAAATGAAAAATTCATTGTGTTTATGGGAAAAAATAGTTAAACCCTAGAATGTACTGAGTTGAACTGCTAATGCACTCGAAGATAGCAATCCTTTTAGCCATTTAAAAGAACACAACAATTTTTTTTCTGGGCCTTTATGTCCATTGAAATGAAAGAGTTATGGCTATGATTTGCTGTTAATTAACAATATTATATGTATATTTTTTTTTTTGTCTGTTTAGATATGGTTTCAACAGCGAGGGACATGATGCTGTTTTGTCTCGTGTAAAAACTACTAGGAAGGAGGGTGGTGTGGTAGGAGTCAACCTTGGTAAGAATAAAGAATCAAAAGATGCGGTCGGTGACTATGCAAAGGGGATTGAGCTGTTTTCTCCTTATGCTGATTATTTAGTTATTAATATTTCCAGGTAGATCATTTCTTGAACAGATATATTACAAAATCGTTCTAAGATAGAAATACAATGTCATATTTTCCTATTTGATTCTGGTTCAAAGTACAAATTTGTTTGGGAAAAGAAAATTTATATTTATAGTAAAGTTCTTTTTAGGATTTATTATCCTAATTATCCATTATAGGAATCTATCTACTATTATATATATAAAGAAGAAGGTATAATCTTCAGCTTGTTAATAAAAGTTATTAAAGCATATATCTTACATCATCTTTCTTTTTTTTTTTATGCTATTTGTGGCTTCTTATTCCTGGGCAAGTAAAATGAGGTATTTTGAATTACCTTTATTAACTAATGTGCCTTGTTGCGAATGATGCCTCATTTTAGGTTATAGAAATAAAAAAGGAGAATTCCTCCAAAACAGTTGATTACTTCTTATGTAGGCAATTAATCCATTCATTTGGAAATACATAAAAATAATGAAAATGTATTTTAAGGGTATTATTTAGATAAACTTAAGTCAAAAATATGTACTAAATTGTAGTATCTCCTCATTGATAAAAGGGAGATCAAAATCAGTTTAGTACTAAGCAGAGGTGATGTTTAGAGATTTTCTCTGATCAATGTCTTAAATGTACAAGTCAGAGACATTTTAGGGCTATTTCGAAAGGAATTTTACTGGCTCTTGATGTCTGTATGAAATTCTTTTAAACAATCTGGTTCTGTCTTGATCCGTCAACTTACCTATGTTTTCTTTTAAAATGTATTTTTTTCAATGAATTTTATAGAAATTAATAGTATGAATTGAGATTCTTGAGGGGTCGAAATTGGGATTTTTCATATTTTATGAAATACTTTAGATACATCGGCGGTCAAATCTGTTAGTATATTCTGACAGACTGTAGAGTCTATTCCATAGGTGGGAAACCTATTAGAGGCTGCAATAAGGTTAGGCAGTGCTAGCAGAGGCCGCAATAATTATTTATATTTTACCATTGCTATTTTGATTGATCACTAAATACACAAACCCACATACATAAATTCAACTTAATTCTATCAATTTATAAATTGTCGTTATTTGAATAATTAAATAATAATTAATTCTAGTACTTGATTAATAAATATAGTTCAAAAACATTTGGAGGCCACAACTATTAGTCTGTGGGCCAGAGCCCCTTACCGTGCACCCCCCCCCCCACATCCCTATCAATTGCATATCGTTGTGTTCCTTGTAACTATTTATTAAAAAAAAGCCAATGTTCCCACAAAAAAAAGTGAACGCACTGCCCCAAAATGGCGTCCAAAGATGGCGGATTGACGACTTTGACTTTAGTTAGTTTTTTGGTCACTGAGAATCAGCATTTGGCTTAATTTCCTCATAGTTGGTCTTTTATTAAAGCTGAATAGTTATAGAATAATAAAACATGAAGAAATATTAAAAAATAATTGGCTTAGGCTATGAAAAACACCAGTAAAGTCAATTTTTTTAACAAAAAAATTTTCAAGTTACAAATCAAGCGTCGTTTGTAATTAAACGGCCTACAATAACGCAAAACGTGCTGAAATAAACCATCTGGAGAATATATTTCTCTTTCTAAAACGCTGATTATTTTTTCAAAAATGTTTAAGCAGTTCCGTAGAAAATGCACTTATGCGGCAGAAAAGCGGTACTGGCGTGGGTGGCTTCAGGCCTCTACCACACCATTCAGTACCCATAAATCGCTTAGTTATAGTGATATAATAACATTTTTGGTACATTATATTGGTTTTATTAACGAACAAATATTAATGCAATAATTTATTGTAAAAAAAAAAATTAAAATTAAAAAAAAAATTATTATTATTTTTTTTTAATTTAACCTCCTTTATTCTATACGTAGGTCGTTTAAGAAGACCTCAATTGTAAAAATGATATAATTATAATAATAAAACTTAATTAAAAAATACTTTGCTAAATATCTTGATTTTTTTTTATTTAACGTTTGCAATTTAACACTGTGTTTTGTATATTTACTGATTCTTAGAAGTAATTAAAATTTGTATATACTTCCCAGGAAATGAGTCATATTAATACCTGTTTTATAAACTAAAATAATATATACCTAATCTGAACTATATATAATGAATAGCTACCGGGTTGTTTAGTAAAACTCATATACCATTAATTAAAAAATTAATTTTTATTTCCTTTATTTTGTGCAGAAGTTGGGCTATATCATAAATAAATAGAAAATTTTAATATTGAATGAGTTATTCTTTATGCACAAAGAAAGATAGAAAGGGTGACCCTATAAGGTCTTCTATAAACCAAAACTGATTGTTTGGATTTGATCTCAAAATGAGAAAAAACGCGTATAATACATTAAGCGAACGAGAAAGGTAGTACCAAAACCTCGGAATAGATAAAAAGGACCAGTATCCATTATATAGCTAAATGAATGTTTAGTAGACAGATGAACAAAATATTTCAAGACGCTGCTAAAACGGGGTCAATTGCAGTTTGGATGATATTAAGTGGACGATGTATGTTTATTATGGTGAAAACCACTTTATTTCCGATTGCTGAAGGTGCACATCGGGAATATCTTCACTTTGATGCAGGATATAGAGAGGTATATCGATAAAGTTATAGCTCATAGCTTTCCTTCTGTTTAGTGCATTTGCAAAAGATTTCTTAAGGAATCTAAAAGGAAAACGAGCTTTTCTGAAAGACAGTTAGATATTAGCATAATCCAAAGTATGAGGCACTAAGCAGATAAAGAGCTATTTTTCTTTCTATGTGGACTTCTCTATAACCTGCCTTAAAGTGAAGACAGTCCCAATTTTCAACTTCTCTTCCAATGTGCAACTTGAGTTTCTCAATCCATATCGCTCTGGCAATCGACAATATTTCTTATTCCAGCTTCTGCGATTCTTGAGTATAATTTGTTTGGTACACTAAACAGGAATAGATCATGATGGGTTTTACATTTCCTAGTATCTCCTTTCTTGTAAAGGTAAAAACCACAGTCCCTTCATATCATTTTCTAATATACTTGTTGCCTATGTACGCGCAAAACTGTGCGAAGCAGTTCGGTTTCGCCCTTTCCATCTTTCTTTGTGCAGAGAGCAATGCAATAATGCATTCAATATTAAAATTTCCTATTTTTTTATGATATAGTACATAATTCAAACAATTTATTCCGCAATTTCTGAACAATAATGAGCTATAACTAATATAAGGTTCCTTAAAAAATCTTTTGCAAATGCACTAAACAGAAGGAAAGCTATGAGCTATAACTTTATCGATATACCTCTCTATATCCTGCATCAAAGTGAAGATAGTCCCGATGTGCACCTTCAGCAATCGGAAATAAAGTGGTTTTCACCATAATAAACATACATCGTCCACTTAATATCATCCAAACTGCAATTGACCCCGTTTTAGCAGCATCTTGAAATATTCTGTTCATCTGTCTACTATACATTCATTTAGCTATATAATGGATACTGGTCCTTTTTATCTATTCCGAGGTTTTGGTACTTCCTTTCTCGTTCGCTTAATGTATTATACCCGTTTTTTCCTCATTTTGAGATCAAATCCAAACAATCAGTTTTGGTTTATAGAAGAACTTATAGGGTCACCCTTTCTATCTTTCTTTGTGCATAGAGAATAATTCATTCAATATTAAAATTTCCTATTTATTTATGATATAGCCCAACTTCTGCACAAAATAAAGGAAATAAAAATTAATTTTTTAATTAATGATATATGAGTTTTACTAAACAACCCGGTAGCTATTCATTATATATAGTTCAGATTAGGTATATATTATTTTAGTTTATAAAACAGGTATTAATATGACTCATTTCCTGGGAAGTATATACAAATTTTAATTACTTCTAAGAATCAGTAAATATACAAAACACAGTGTTAAATTGCAAACGTTAAATAAAAAAAAATCAAGATATTTAGCAAAGTATTTTTTAATTAAGTTTTATTATTATAATTATATCATTTTTACAATTGAGGTCTTCTTAAACGACCTACGTATAGAATAAAGGAGGTTAAATTTAAAAAAAAATAATAATAATTTTTTTTTTTAATTTTAATTTTTTTTTTACAATTAATTTATTGCATTAATATTTGTTCATTAATAAAACCAATATAATGTACCAAAAATGATATTATATCACTATAACTAAGCCATTTATGGGTACTGAATGGTGTGGTAGAGGCCTGTAGGCACCCACGCCAGTACCGCTTTTCTGCTGCATAAGTGCATTTTCTACGGAACTGCTTAAACATTTTTGAAAAATAATCAGCGTTTTAGAAAGAGAAATATATTCTCCAGATGGTTTATTTCAGCACGTTTTGCGTTATTGTAGGCCGTTTAACTACAAACGACGCTTGATTTGTAACTTGAAAATTTTTTTGTTAAAAAAATTGACTTTACTGGTGTTTTTCATAGCCTAAGCCAATTATTTTTTAATATTTCTTCATGTTTTATTATTCTATAACTATTCAGCTTTAATAAAAGACCAATTATGAGGTAATTAAGCCAAATGCTGATTCTCAGTGACCAAAAAACTAACTAAAGTAAAAGTCGTCAATCCGCCATCTTTGGACGCCATTTTGGGGCAGTGCGTTCACTTTTTTTTGTGGGAACATTGGCTTTTTTTTAATAAATAGTTACAAGGAACACAAATATATGCAATTTATAGGGATGTGGGGGGGGTGCACGGTAAGGGGGTCTGGCCCACCGTGTATATGTCACAGAGGCCACATACGGCCTCAGAGGCCGCTGTTCCCCTTCTCTGGTATATACAGTAGATTTTATAGTTGTAATCTTAGGTTTTTGTTTTAAATTTAAGTATATAATACTATAAAATCATGTATTTAAATAAAATTAATTATTATTGATGGATAGTTTACAAATACCACATCAATCGGCCCTTTTAAACGTAGGGTTTTTTCATTAAAAAATTATTTTATGTTCTTATCATTATATTAAGTTAGTGTTTCTATTAAATAAATTATTTTTATGTTTATTATTTATTTATTTGCGAACCATAGGAAACTAAAAAAGAAATGTAATTTTTATTTTACTCTTCAGGAACACTTGGAACCCCACACCAGACTGAAACGATTAGAAACCGCCCGACGTTTTCGACTACTGCAGCACTTACTAGACAAACTTCCCACTATTTACAAAAGACTCATATATATATATATATATATTACAATAATAAGGCCTATTTGGACTTACGGGATTGAGCTTTGAGGCTCTACTAAACAATCGAATTCCTCTCGTATCCAATCCCGACAATCCAAAATCCTTCTTAAAATCCTCAATGCTCCCTACTTTGTCACAAATAAAATCATCCATAACGACCTTAATGTACCATATATTTCCGATTTAACTCAATCCAGATACCATTCCTTCCATAATAAACTTCTGAACCATCCAAACCCTCTTGTTTCCAACCTTGTTTCCTCTTCTATTCCTGATAACCCTCCGGGACGTCTGAAAAGAAGATGGCCTCGGGACCTTCTAATATAGAAATATAATTAGAGTGCTACCAATGGGTAGTTTCTCTTCATGTTGTACATGTCAAGTTACTTATTTCATATTTACTAGTTGTATTTATCATTATACAGTCGTAAATTTCAATAATAAAAATAAAAAAAAACAAAAAACTTCAGGAATAAAAACTTATTCATTTTTTATAATATAGGGCTAAAAATGAAATTTTAGATTTAGATGGTAAACAGTATATGAAATATTTGAAAATGACCAAAATAAGGCCGAAACGTTAGAAATAAATAAATGTGTAATGTAACTAAGAAAGGTTTTTATTAATACAAAATCTTATAAAAAAGCTTCATATTTATTAATTATCACTTGATTAACTTTAAAAAGATACTTTTAATATCTCATTTATATATATGTATATAAGTAAATTAGTAACCTATTGACAAAAGATGAAAATTCAAAAATAAATTTTAAAAACTTTTAATTTAAAACAAAAAATCTTTACAATATATATAAAGGGTGTTTCAGGGTTAAGTGACCATACTGAAAATGTGAATTAAGGACCTCAAAACAAGAAAAAAAATTCCCATGAAGGTATGTCCGCAAACGCTTTGTTTAGGAGATATTCACACCTAAAGATTAAAATTATTTACGTTATATTAAGTAAATAAAACTTATTTATTTGTTCCAACTACTTTATTAATTAAACGTAAAATTAAATTCATATTAAATGTTGTTCAAAGTGATTTCCTTTAACATTTAGCCATTTTCATGGACATCTTACGTAATGTGCAGGCCAACCGTCTAATTGAAGCCACATTTCTCTTCTCAGTTGTAGTGGAATATTCCAGATTTTATTTGTTTCATATAGTGAAAATAATTCATAACAACGAAAATCTTTAGGTGTGAATATCTCCTAAGCAAAGCGTTTGTGGACAAACCTTGAGAGGAATTTTTTTCTTGTTTTGAGGTCCTTAGTTCATTTTTGCTGTTTAGCCACTTAACTCTGAAATACCCTGTATATCTATAGAAATACTTTATTGAAAGAAATATTGCCCTACTATATAGGGCTGCTTTATACTGATACAATACTCACAGCATACTGATCAATCCATATGGACATAGCTCTTACATTACATTTATATTAATATATAGCATACATATTATATTTTATATAAATAAAATTGTCAATTGTGCTTGTTTCTATTATTGACTGATTTAAATAAATAATACAAAAAGGTTGGAAATAAAAGTAAATCATAGTGTAATAATTTTTTGTTTGTTAATGCTTAGCCCGAATACTCCAGGATTACGAGATTGGCAACGTAAGGAACAGCTCGAAGTACTGTTAACAAAACTAAAGAAGGTTAGGGATACGCAACCTGTTCGACCTCCTCTGCTACTCAAGTTGGCTCCAGATCTCACTTCAGAACAGATTCAGGATATTGCCATTCTTGTCTTGAAGCCTCAAGTATGTCATTTTTTTTTTTATATATGGTTTTATTGTTGTTGAAAAAGACAAGTGTTTTTATTAAACTTTTCTGAAGATGGTGTTTCTTCTTAAATGAATTTGATAACAAATAAAATACTCTAAGGATTAATAAAAAAATCAGTAGATAGCTGATAAAATATATTAAATGACATGTATAAAATATGAGCTGTACTTTTAACCTCCATTATTGAAATACATGCTTAAGAAACAGGACTTGGTGCTAATATAATAATTTATAGTCATGACTTTATAGGTTCTGGTGCATATAAAAATATCTTAAGTCAAAACATTGTGGTTCAAAACAAAATAGAGTTTTTATTTGAAAATTATACTAGACATCGTTTATAATGACAATGAAGGGGCTTGTCAGTTTTCATTTTAACAATGTGATTGAAAACTAAAAAAAAAGGCATTCATTTTACGCTATTGAAATTAACATAATGTTTGAATAGATTTAGCTATAAATACAGATGTAGCACATAATTTTATAATTTTTGCACTTTTGAAAAAAATTCTCTATTATAGTATACTAAATATTTAAGAACAATAAAACTTGTTTTGTGATAGAATTCATGATGCATGATCTGTAATCATTTGGTTCTCTTTTTACATTGATGATATTGAGGGAGCACGTGGTTTATAACAACCGGACGCGATCACAATCACCTCTTCATCAGAGTGGTGGCAACCTTTTGCAGACGTTTCTATCCTGTTGTTGTTTTTTATGGGATATGGTTATTAGTCCTGTGCCCAACCTCCATGTCTGGAGGACCAAAGGAGCTATGTTATTAGACACAGGGGTCACTCTCTTCTTCCTGTGAATCTCAAGGAGGAGCCGTTATCGTCCCCATATGGGAACCGAACCCGCGCTGTAGTGGTCTAAGCAATCGAGTAGTGACTGCACTTATTTATTTATTATTAATAAGTTATCTCTTTTTTTTTTTTTTTGATTTAATCCTGCGAACGGAATTTAAGCTCGTAGCATACAATTTTTGCAGGTGCCTTAACACACTCGACCGCCGCGGCCCCTTATATTGAAAAGATATTAAGGTTATTCTTTAATATAAATCAATTTTTAACGAAACACAAAGAGAAAGTTTTGGATGAAGGTACCAAATAGGAAATAAGGAATAAAAAATGGGGAAAGCGACATGACATTTTTACTAAGGTTTTTTTACATTTTGAGCTGGTTCCCTCTTTCTGCTTTTTCCACTGCCATGCTGGTATTACCGATGTTTTTAACCCATGACTGAATGAAAAAGAAGTTGCTATGATCAATATGTCATTATGTTCACTTGAAATAACTTAAAATAGTGGTACCAATTTGAAGGATTTTACCATTTAGTCACTAGAAGCGATTTATCTGATGTTATAATGTATTATCCAGTGTAATATGAATTTTTCTTATAAAAGTTTACATCTAACATCTCGGACTGAAACACTAAACAAAGGGCATTTAGAAATTTCTTTCTTTCATGTTTAATTAGAATGGTCTTAACAGTATGCCTATAAAATTAAATTCTATAGAAAAGTTTCAAATTTAATAGTAATAATGGAAGGTGATTGAAACAAAGTTTTGATGCTGATATCACCAATCACTGTCTTTATACCTCCTTCTCCGCATTTCAGATCCTAAATGCGTAAAGTTTTTATTTGAAAAAAAGAAACAAAATACAATTGTTAATTATTATTATTAACACAATGAATTACTTAATTATATTACTATAATCATTTATTTGTTTCACGCATTACATGGTTGTTTTATAACAGTTGTGGACCAAATCGGTCTACCAAATATTACATTAATATATTTTCAAGATTATTTTATATTTTCTGAACAATATTTGCTGTTCCCAACAATAAAGCCGTTTGCATTTTTTCCGTTGTCATAAAAGGCAAGTTCAACTCACGCAAAGAAGATTAAGTTAAGATTCAGTATCACTATACAAGTAAAGATTATTGTTATTATTAATATATGATTTTTAATATAATTCTTTTACCTACCTATGTCTCATGAATCTTTTTACTCCCTCTGTATTTTTTTTTCTTTTTTCATCAATAATTTTTTGATGAATAATTGATAATATCTTCTGGTTATTACTATTTATTATTTTTTAAATTTTTACTCAGATTTACAATTAATATTTAAAGTATATATTCTCAAAACATAATTTAGTTGTTATTTTTTTTTCATGAAATCAGTGCCAAGTTGATGGTCTTGTGATATCAAACACTAGTACCTCGCGTTATGATGACTTAGAAAAAGATCTAGCTAAAGAAGCAGGAGGACTATCCGGCGCACCTATTTCTAAAGCTTCAACTTCGATGATCGCAACCATGTATAAGCTTACAAAAGGCATGTCGTTTTGATTTTATAAAAAAAAAAAATTAAATTAAATAATTAAAGTTAATGTTATAATCTTTTTTTCTATTTCTAGGTCAGATTCCTATAATCGGTGTAGGAGGAGTTTTTACTGGTGAAGATGCTCTCGAGAAAATCAAAGCTGGAGCGAGCCTGATACAGCTTTACACTGCCTACGTGTACCATGGGCCTCCGAGAATAACTCGACTCAAAAAAGAACTAACGGAACTACTGGAGTAAGTTCATTGGAATCCACTGAAATTCAATCAGAAAATTTCAAAACAAATAAGTTTCGATAAAACTATTACTATATACTATATAATTGTATATTAGTTTTGGAAAATTGTCTATAGCGATTAATAAGTATGCTGTGTTTAAAACAAACCCAATATAATTGGGCAGCATCCTTTTATGATAATAAAGTGATTCTCTCTAAAACATCCAGTTTTTGGCATCCATTGGCAGTTTTTTAAAATGGAATATTAAGCTTTTAGAATGGTCTAGAAGTGTCGAAAGGTGCTCTTTCCTACCACGAATCCCTTCTGCCCAAGCATATTACATCATCTTTTACAATTTATCTTGTTATAATAGTAACAAAAGGCTCTGAAGATTAAGATACTCAGTAGGCTCTTTTGTAAATTAGGCAAATATTTTCACAAAACTTAAAACAGGTCCTTCCTTTCTCACCATTTTGAAATTAAAAATCATTACCGACTTAACAGAATCGGAATTGTTGAACCTAATACCGAAACAATTTAATATGGGACACAAATCATTTAAAGTTACTTCAAGGGTTCCAAACACTGTGAATTTTACCTTGTTACTATAACTATTACAATATTAGTGATGTAGAGATGGTTGACCACCACCATTTTGAAATTATTATTAAATAAATTATTATTAAATTATTATTTATTATTATTATTATTATTATTATTATTTATTAAATTATTATTAAAATTATTCTCACCATTTTGAAATTAAAAATCATTACCGACTTAACAGAATCGGAATTGTTGAACCTAATACCGAAACAATTTAATATGGGACACAAATCATTTAAAGTTACTTCAAGGGTTCCAAACACTGTGAATTTTACCTTGTTACTATAACTATTACAATATTAGTGATGTAGAGATGGTTGACCGTTAATATAATATGAGAAGGAGTTAGTCGAGGGTGCGGTCAAATAAATAAAAAAATTAAAATATATAAATTATTTTAATTTTTGCCGACGTTTCGACCCACTTTGCAGGTCGTCTTCAGGGCTACAAAAGATACAAACATGTTGAAAAAATAAAAATAAAATAAAAAATAAATATAAGTATATATAAAATACGAAGAAGTTGTCAGATACAGAAATAAAAGATAAAGAAAATAAATACATGATAAGAAAATAGATAAAAGAAAATAAATACATGAATGTTCAATAAATTCGTTAACATTCATGTATTTATTTTCTTTTATCTATTTTCTTATCCATGTATTTATTTTCTTTATCTTTTATTTCTGTATCTGACAACTTCTTCGTATTTTATATATACTTATATTTATTTTTTATTTTATTTTTATTTTTTCAACATGTTTGTATCTTTTGTAGCCCTGAAGACGACCTGCAAAGTGGGTCGAAACGTCGGCAAAAATTAAAATAATTTATATATTTTAATTTTTTTATTTATTTGACCGCACCCTCGACTAACTCCTTCTCATACATATTACAATATTATTTGGGGGAAAAAACTTACTTATTTTAAAATTTTTAGGGGATACAATTAAATTAATGTTTTATAAGTTACTAATTATGTTTCTTTTTGTCCAGGAAAGAAGGATTTAAGAGTATCAGCGAAGCAGTCGGCGCTGATAATAAATTATTTTTATCCGATGTCAAAGAGGCACAAAATACAAAGGTCGATCCACACTGAAATTTCATCATAATTTGTACCTCCAATTGCATTTTCTATTTTGTTATTCAACATATTGAAATTACAACTTATTTTGTATAGTGTTTCTATCGAGTTTTTGTTTGTATAGTGTTACTTTATACTAAAAGAGTTTATTTTGTCGAGGATTTTTATTAATAAATTGTTACTTCTAAATAAAAGTGTTAACAATTAGTTCTTGTTTTTTAAAATTGTTTTCCATATGGCATATTTTTCAGTAAGTAAATAATTTAAATCTTAAATTTCCTTTGAGAACTGTTATAAAGTATTTTTTCTCCATTTCTATCATAACCGTACAGAAAGATTGGGTAATCATTCTTACTAGTACACCCCAGCGAGAACTCATTAAATAGCCATCCTTCTCCCCAAAGCATTCAACATCAACATAACATGTTTATTAGTATATTTATAATTTTTTTTTTTCTGTTTGTATTACAGACCTTGTAGATCTGTTGCCGCCTTAACAAGCCTGCTACATCCTGTCTTGGGCTATTTCTTTCCATTTATCTGCACGCAGCTCTATTGTATCTTTATTGATTCTATCTATCCATCTGCTTTTGGGCCTTCCACGTGGTCTTTCGCCTCCAATTGAGGCATTCATTTTTATGTAGAGGCTTCCAGATGGATTGCTACGAGCTACATTCCCCGCCTATCTTAACCTCCGTTCCTTCTGACCAGTTTCCTGTACGTAGTTCATTATTGGTCTTTCTTCTCAATGTATTGGTACTCTGATCCCAGATTGCTCTGGTTATCGTATGGAGGATTTTTCTCTCAAATCTTTCAATACTTTTCTCTAGGGTGCTGGTTAGTGTCCAAGCCTCACAACCATATATTAGAACTTGCTTTATCATAGCATTGTACACCCTTAATTTGAGATTTTAATACATTTCAAAGGGAGAAGAAAGCTCTGTTTGCACTAGTTATTTGTTGGTCTATTTCTGAATCCATTGGTCATTCACTGAGGTTATTGTGGAGATGAGGTATTTGAATTTTGCTGCTGTCGGAAAGATTTAGAGCTAGCCCAAAAGATCATGACATGACTCCGACAATATTATATGTGGTTTTCATAAAAGCTATCTTTGGTATTATTTAATATTTAATTGTATAGAATACAGCGATATAAAGATTAAGATTTGTATGTATACCAGTACTCGAACAAATAAAAATACTCACAATAAAATATAAATAAATATAGTGGTCTTCTTTATCATTGGCACTCTTGTCGGACTAAAAATATTTCGTGACACTTAATTATTTATTATAATCAAATAAATAACTGAAATATAGTCCTAAAAGGAAGTGGCTACTGTGGAAAAAAAAAATAATATATATATATAAAACATTACATTACTTTCTCTTCCCTTTATCTAAAAATTCTTATTTGTGCTAAAAAGAGGGTGGTAAGTGAAAGTTGTGTGATATGCGCACCACACCAGATTTTTTCATTTATTAAAGTTGTCAGAATTTAATGATCAGATGGGAATTCTTCATTTCTCCTTGAAATTTCCTGAAGTTTGATACCTTATTCATCAAAATCCATTACTCCTGAGAGCCGGAAAATGGATCTATGCTGCCTTATTATATTCAGTGTAGATTACAGATTTGTTGCTAAAAATAAGCATATTACATATAAACACTTTAGTGTATTTTTATATGAACACATATTCGTCCGGTAATTTTTTGCACCACTATTTACAAAATACTCCATTTGGTAAAAATTAGAATTTTATTTATTTAGAAATAAAAAAACAAGAATCAATTATTTTATATAATATACAAGTGACGAATTTTGTCTTGCAGATGAATGTGTTAATGTTAATTTTAAAATATATATATAAATAAAATAAATATTGATAAGTAAACATCGCAAATTATTACTTTATTATTTCCAAAAAGTTATATATTTAATTTATGAAGACAAATTAAATTATTTAACAAATTAGTGTCTGGAATGTTCTGGTTGATATATAGTTTTTGAGTATAAAAAAACAAAGATCGGCTTTCCATGGTGAAATCTGTATAAATTTATAAACACTATTTCTCTATAAAATTACAAAGGAAACTATATATGGTTATGTTAACCCTTTTCAGGTCATGGTGTTCAAATGAATACCACTACTTTGAATTTTTTTCGTCATATTTTATTCGTCTACGTCCATTTATGTTACATTCATGGTTCGTTAGTTACAATTTTATTTTTATAAAAAAATTCAAAAATCACAATACCAACAGTGACTAAAATAACACTGATATGTTTTTCAAATTTAATTTATAAAATCCAATTCTCTTACAATATAGTGTTTTATAAAGCTCATACGAACATTAATATATTATGATTTCTAGTTGTATAAACATTTAAAGCAATTATAAAAATTCATTTTCATATTTATAGTGCAACATCAACATTTTGATAAATATCCAATTATTAAATTAAATAATTTAATATATATATATAATGGGTAGTCTGTATATATCAATACACTATAAAATACATATCCACTATACATTTAAGCCTAAACTTACATATATTTATATTGCTCCATGGATAACAATTTTTCCACAAAATGTATGATTAAACAGTATCGAAAAGGAATTTCTTAATTCAGAATAATTTTTATTCCTGATGATTATTGCATTATTATCATTGATCAGTGATTATTACATCAATGTTAGTAATTATATAATCTATTTATGGTTTTAAATCTAAACAATGACTGAAACATGTTTCAACAATTGAATAATTTTATATTACAAATTGTTTAGATACAACAAAAATATTTACCAATCATAATTTTTCTGATAAATTTGACATTTATTTTATTGAACCTTAAGCAGCTTTCTTTTACGTTTTTTCTCTGTTAGTAAAGGAATGAATATTATTAATACGTACAGCTACCAACAAAAATTTCTGACCATATTGTCAGTGTTTAGTTAAAATTCATTTAAGTTCAGTTTGTGAATTTTTGATGATGATTTCTGCCTGATGAAAAACCAATACACATGTACTAAATAATTTTGTCCATAAAATTACACCCAAATAAACTAGCTATGGGACGAATGAAGTCTTCCTCTATGTTTAGAAAATAAATTTTTGAAGCTGTTGTTATTTAGGGCTTACGAGTAGAGGCAGTTGTAAAACATTGAGGTCATCAATGTTTGATTGAGGTCACAAATGTTTGAAGTGAAAACTACTTTAGGCGCACTTAGCAATCGGAACTACATAATATAAGCGAGGGAAATTAGTTTGCTCACTGAAGAAAAGAACTTTGAATTCTTCATCAATTTTGGATTTAGTGACGTTTGTTTGAATGCTTACAATATGCTGACCGAATTGAAATCAAAATATTTCAACAAATTTACTCAGAGGAGAGAAATATAAAATTTCTCTAATAGATTGTAATAGGGAACAAAATTGTCTAACACTCTCAATAGTTGAACGAAAAATTCAATGAACATTAAAAAAAAAAAAAAATACGATATATTTATTTTCATTTTCCCTACTCTTTTGATTTGGATTTTTTACCTACCTCTTGTGTATATTGACACTTTAGAACAATAATGTTCTTTCCAAACCAAAGACAACATTGTGTCAATAAAATTGTAGTTTCTTTACTTATATTGATATTGTTATGTTTTTTTTTAATTTTGGAAAATCTTTGAGTAAAATTTTTTACCACGATTTTCTCAATTTGAAGTAAGTTCTCAAATTTCCTAATATTGAAGGGGTGACCTCTCACATTGTTCACTCCGTTGCGAGTATATTTATATAAATTCAAACATTTCATGAAGCTTGAAAACAAACAAAATATTTATTCTTGATCTCAGTGGAATCAGATCTTTGTTATTTCAAGTCCTTTTCAAAGTTTAATTGCTAAGATCATAACTTGTTTTCACATTTATAGTTAATAAATTCACAATCTTTATAATTTAGTCTTACTAATGTTAAATGTTTTAGAAGATATTTTAAAAATTTCTTATTCTGAAAATTGTATAGAATTTCAGGAATTGCAAAGGCAGTGATTATAAACCATAAAGAGCATACCTTGTTTTAAGTTAGCAATGATTGTAAAGTTTGTGAAGATTATATTAGAAGTATGAAGAACCATCCATTATATAAATGGACTACAGTTTGCTTAATGATAAGCTTGAGAAAAGTATGTTCATTATCAGATTCCCATTTTAAGAGTTTACAGATTGATGTTAAGTGAAAATCGATGCCTTTTAATATAATTTTTCTGATTAACAACTCGTTTTCAATTTTGTATTGAAAATTCATTCTACAGCAGGGATTCAATTTAATATTAGATTTTTATCTTATAATTTAAAAATCATTTATTTTTAAATTGTGCCTAGAATATTTGTTTGTTTGAAAACAGATTAAAAATTTATTTTATAATAATTATTGTGGAGTGATAAAATTTAAATAAAAATTAATGAGTTGTCTACTTATTTGATATTTAATCCTAGTTATTGTTTCTAAATATGTTAAAACAAGTTGATTACTTCTATTCATACAAATGTTTATTTATCTTTTTCTTTATCCAGTCTCAGTTTAATACTTTTCTCAATTTGAACTTTTGCTTTTTATTTTATCAGTTAGGATTGTGAATGTATTAAATAAGGCAGGTAAAACATTACATTATTTAACATGCATTAAAACAAGGTTTAGACAATATTTAAATGTAAATAAATTTTACTATTTAAATATAGATTATTTGAATATTGTTTTGTCTGACTTTACCAAACTGAGTTATGAAATTAATTAAATATATATGTATTTAATAAACTGCTACATATACAAATTGTAAAAAAAAAAAAAAAAAAAAAAAAGAAACCATTGAAAGTCCATATTTAAAGTTCAGTATTTGTAAGCAAACAAATTTCGATAAAAAATGGAGTTATAAAAAGTAATGAATTATTGATAGTTATTTTTTTACTTAAAACCATTAGTCATATTGCTTGACTTTTAATCAATATAGATATAAGTTAATCATTAAAAATTAATTTAATTAATAGCTAAATACATTGATTTTGCGAATTAATTCAAACTGTTATTTAAAATCAAGTATTTTTTTAAAAAATGGGTTATTATATTTTGATTTTGCTACAAAATTAATCCTCAAATTCAATTCCTGCCTTCATCAGTAAATGGACTCTTTTAAAACAAGAAGAAT